CGCCTATGTAGCCCCTTCCCTTATTAGTATCCACAACCGGTAGACTTTCATACACATTTAAAAACGCACCCCTATTTATGTCCCAGCAATCCAATCTCTCCTTCCCGTTTAGCTCACATCCCATGAGTATGTGCACATTTTCCTCATTTATTCTTTCTGCCATCCATCAGATCGTGTGCCACCTTGCACCAGTTGAAGTTTAGCTGGAGGATGTTTATTTGCTCCATTTGTGGGATTCGTGAATCGGGAGAGCTTCTGTCCTCCCTTCTTCCTCGCTGTTTTGACTTCTTGCTCTATATTCTTTCCTTTTGGCTGTGCTCAGCGCCCGTCGAAGTCGAAATAGGAAACATCTACTTGTTCCTGCTCTGTGGGGCTCTCCATTGCACATTCCACTTCTGATAGTTCCAGGTTCAGCGCAGATATAAAATGGATTGCTGCGGTCTGGGCAACTGCATTCCACTGCTTCATGATCGTATTGCCAGTGCCGGTGGCATCTTCTTATTTCACAGTATCTCTGAATTCGGCATCTGGACATTCCAATTTTTGTATCTTGGACTGAGCTTGGACATGAGCTTCTTTGCTGTTTCCGCATTCATTTTGGACCCTCTCCGCTTGTACTTGTTCTGAGTTCTCCAATCTTATGTGTCTCCTCCTCAAGTCGTGATCCGGTAATTTTTGCTCGTATTTCCTGCCTGGTCCTTGTTATATCCATGTTCCTTGCATATAGAGTTTCCTATATTTTTTTTTGCCTATCGAGAATATTTTGATACCCGTCGCTGTGTTTTTGCCTTCATTATCTCCTCAATCCCTTTAACCACTTTATCGTCCATATCCGTTGTTATTATGACCCGCCCTTCTTCTTGTCCGGCCAGTCCTTGTGGCGCCTTCTACTGTATAACTTGATGACGTTCTTTTTATATACAGGGTGTCCCACGGTGGATGGCGTATTAGACGTTTATGGAGAACTAAAAAGCAGATCATTTTGAAAATTTGGCAACCGGAATAAATGACCGTGATCTACACTTTAAAAATATTTTTGTTCATGCGGTGTTGCCGCTTCTACTCTAAACCAGTGGCAACATCGCTATTTTAAATGAAACACCCCGTATTTAATTGCATATTTGGCTTCTACGTAAAATTCTGATCAGATTTCATGTGATATACCCTATACCCAAGTTCAACTGTTTTGGAAATATTGACAGTTGAAAATTGATTTTTTGCAAATTTGACAGGCTGTAAAACCTGAACGGTTAATTTTAGAGAAAAACCGATTTTACATTCCTATCTTAGATTTTTATAAACTATCATTTGACACCAATTTTGAATTTAATCCATGATTAAAAATTCCAATTAAATTTAATCTCCGGTTAAATTCAAAGTTGGTGTCAAATGATAGTTTACGAAAATCTAAGATAGGAATGTAAGATCGGTTTTCCTCTGAAATTAACCGTTTAGGTTTTACAGCCTGTCAAAGTTGCAAAAAGTCAATTTTCAACTGTCAATATTTCCAAAACAGTTGAACTTAGGTATAGGGTATATCACATAAAATCTGCTCAGAATTTTACGTAGAATCCACATATGCAATCACATACAGGGTGTTTCATTTAAAATAGCGATGTTGCCACTGGTTTAAAGTAGAAGCGGCAACACCGCATAAACAAAAATATTTTTAAAGTGTAGATTATGGTCGTTTATCCCGGTTGCCAAATTTTCAAAATGATCCGCTTATTAGTTCTCTATAAACGTCTAATACGCCATGCACCGTGGGACACCCTGTATCTATAAATACGCCGACCAAACACTAGGTATGTGTGTCTTTATATTGGCCCTAAAGAAAAGGTTGCTACTTCCGCTGTTAAAGCCGTTTCAAAGCTGCGCCTTTCCCGTCTTCTCCATCCTTCTCGTCTTTGTCCCTACCCTGGACTGGGACCCTAGGCAGATGCTGGCTTTCTGGGTCAAAGGGCACATTGAGTTTGCGGTCGGCAGGAATGACTCATCGTCACTGATAGGATTTACCTACCCACTACCTGCTATAATATTATTGATATCCAACTTTGAATCAGGCGCAGTGATTATATGGAAGATGTGCTTGTGTGGTGGTTCCTTGGCATGTGATGTTTAAATCCCTCATCATTGCGTTGTAGAGGAAGGTTCTGATAAAATTTGTACGGACTTGTTCAACGCTTTTGCAAAAGTGATAATGGGTAATCATTGCATGAAACTGGTCGGGCCAAAATTACACCCTGATATTGCATCAATAATTAATTTATTCCTTTCGCATATACAGTGACCGCCAAAAAGTTTGTAACAAATGGAATTTTTTTTTATTATCAAGATATCAAAGAGAATGTTACGGGGGATCGATTCAGCATACCCATCAACAAAAAAAAGCACTTTGACAGATGTCATGTGACCACAGTTACGGCGGGAAATTTGAAAAGTTTGCCTTAAATATGTAAAAAGTGGGGTTAGATGACCAGAAATCGAAAAATTGTAGAGAGAAAACTGGTTCAGGATTCGATTTTACGTCTATGTGTCAATTTTTAAAAAGGTACAAGGATTTTTAATAAATATCAATTTCTTGGCCTATTTTCTGGTAATTTGAAAAATTTCAAAAACTTTTCGCTTGGTTCACATAATTCAAAGTGAAACTAACAAAAAGAAACCCAGTGCAGTCGTCCCGCGGAAAATTGTAAAAAACCAAAAATTCATTTTCAAACCACTCTGATCTTGTTGCAATGACCTACAGAAAACAAAAATTTGAAATAACAAATTTCAAATTATTATAAAATCTTTCTATATGATCCAATACCTCTTTTCTAAATTCAATCAAACCAAAAAGTTTTCCCTTTACAATTTTTCGGTTTCTGGCCATCTAACCCCACTTTTCACATATTTAAGGCGAACTTTTCAAATTTCCCGCTATAACTGTGGTCACATGACCTCTGTCACAGTGCTTTTTTTTGTTGATAGGTATGCTGGATTGATCCCACGTAACATTCTTTTTGATATCTTAATAATAAAATATCTTCCCATTTGTTGCAAACTTTTTGGCGGTCACTGTATATATCGACTAAAACAATCATTGAGAATGTTCATGGTGATATTGATCATCCTGGACATAGATCTTTGTTCCAAACGATTCAGGTACTATCTGTTGAATGTACAGTTCGTTTCACCAGGGTTCATACTTGACCTTGAAAGATGAAAAAAAAGGGATGTCGTAGATTAGTTCAATGACACATTCAATTTTTTTGACAAATTAAAATAAATGACTTTTCCTTTAAGAACCGACGAACGTTTTTGACGTTATTGATTTGTTTCAGTCAATTTTTACTTGTTAAACAAGGAAAGCAAATGCTGGTGGCAAGTACAAACCCTAGCGAAACAAACTTTACCATTCATTCAAGATAGATTTTCCCAAATAGATTAATTTTCCTTTTAAGTTAAGGTACCTACTATTGGTACTACAAGATAAAGCTGAGGGTGAAATAAATTACCTAAATCAAAGAAACTGTCAAAATTCTTGAGATGTTTTAATTAAAACTTTTTAAATTAATTTTAAACCTATCTGGATTTCTATCTTGAAACTTCACCCTTTCAGCACTCTCCTTCTTGAGACGATAATGAGAGAGTCAAACACTATATGGCTAGATAGGTTTCTGCCTGGATTCATTAACGTGTTGATAGGGATGGACACACAAATTTGGTTTACACCTTCTCTATTTAGAGATAATGGTTCAATAATTACACATCAACAATTTAATCCAAATACCAGAGCAGCAATACCTAATTATCAGCAAAAACTTTGAATTGACTCTCCTCAGAAAATTGTGGTACCACACAAAATGGAACCTCCATAGATGAAAAATTAAAATATAATATTTATATATTTTAAAGGTAGATAAGATAAGATATCAGGTAATAAAAACCCATCAGTGATAGTAGACACTGATATTGAAATAAATTGAAAAATATTAAGGGAAAACCTAGAAATCTGAAGAAAAAAAAAATTACAAAATGAAAATCGACTTGCCTGTTCAACCGTCTGCCAGAGAAAAGGTCTTCTAGTAGAAACCCCTTTCCTTTTAGAAAAACCGGTCTTGTGTTCTTTTATACTTAGGTGCAATTTTACCATCTGACCATTCAAAAAATAACACTCAACATCCACAATACCGTGTTCACTTCATTGATGAAAGACCATGCTGATTGAATGGGAATCGATGAAAACACAATAGATTTTGAAATTGGCAACTTAGAAACATAAACAATGACGCTTATTAGTCGCAACACGCCAATCTTCACAGTATCAAGTTTGTAACAAACCTTGTGTGACACCTTGTAGAATAAGATACTTATCACTTAATCCCATTTTGTGAATACATTTTTTTAGAGGGTGGCTCCAAAAGGAAAGAAGGGGGTTTATAGCTCATTTAAACGATAATCTCAACAAACCTACTATATTATTAATCAACAATTTCCAAAAAATAAGTACAATTTTGTGAGTGATGATTATATTCAGAATCCGTAGTGAATTTCTAAGGATTGCTGGTTGCTTTCGGGAGTAGGTGCTTCTTTAAAACTCACCATGCAGAAAATCTCCTATTCGTCAGCCAAACTAATAAACTGAGAAACTACCGCTGTAAGATGGGAAATTTATTTCTAAAAAAAGTTTAATATATGTAAATGTATAACACGAGCTACCGCGGGAAAATTTCATTTTAAATATTATAAGGAAAATGAAAATGCTCTTACGTGTAGGAAGTAGAGTGTATACGGAAAAAGGAACTTGATTTAGGAGCAAAATTTTGTCTAATAAAAAATATATTCTTTTAAAATCCAGTTCCTACTCAATAGGTCAAATTTTTTTTCAAGAATGCAAAATAAGCGTGTGGACACATATTCAAACCAATACGCTTATAGAATACGATTTTTTTTGGCTAGATTGTCTTTAGGATCCAAGAAAAATCAAAAAATCTAACATAAATATTTCTTATTAGGATTACCTGCTCTTCCCTCAACCACTCCGCCCAGTTTAGCTGTGACACCATTGCAAGCCAGATCTTCCACAAGTGGTAGCGTAGAAACATTACCATTGCAGCCAAAATATTTACCAGGTGAGCAAAAAAACTATGAAACCAAATCGTTGATCAGAAACCTAGGAAATCACACTTATTCACACCTCACCACAACCCAAATAAGGATTAAAGAAGAGGGTATTCTTTAACAAGTGTAAATACATTCTGAGAGTGTAGAATTTTAAATTTTATTCACACAGATTCTACTTATTTTTAATGACCCTAGGAGACTTGACACTGACCGGTCAGGCGTGATTCAATGAATAATTTCTATGAAACCCATGAACCTTTTGGGAATATAGGTATTCGATGAACAGTTGGTGGACTTCTCGTTCCATCAATGGATACAAAACGCCATTTACATGCATTTTAGAGAATTTTTGTTGTTTTCCAGAATCTTTACATATTTTTACTCGTCTTGAAACAGAAACATAGCCATTATCTTCTTCCCTATTTTGAGCTGTGACATTCAAATCTTCCTATACTACAAAGTATTTTTTTCAGGTTTCTATAGAGAAACAGCTTCAGAACCCAGAGAAGTGAACTCAGTTTCGCCCAACCAAGAGCGTCGGAGCAGTTCTGCAAGGAAACCGTCATTTTCCATCTCCAGCCGCATATATCCCGCAGATGGGGCCAAAGAAAACGAATTCAATTTAGCAAGCGTGTCAGCTTTGGCAATTGGAACCTCCACAGAAGTCTTAGTCAGTATTGTTGAAAACCAAACTGGATTACGAAAAAATTCATTTCTTTCTGGTAAAAATTAAATACCAATAATAAACCACAGACATTAACAATATTGTTTTTATAGTCAATTCAATAAGCAGTGACGCTAGATCACCTTCACCACTAAAAGAAGACGAAGAGCTCAACTTTTTCAAATCCCCAAGCACGGAAATGACCACAACTTTTCAGTCTCCAGACGAAATCGAGCACATGATCACCGAGGAATCGTTCATTATAAATGAGCGTAGCGTGCCGGAAAATAACAATTCAGATTGTGGAATGACCAAAAAATGTAAAACCCTAAGTCAAAACAGTATTGTCGTTTGAATGTAATTTATTTTAATAAATGATGTTTTGTAAATAAAAGCGATTCTGATGATTTATTTGAGGGATTTTTATTCGATATTTGAATTTTACGAGAAAATATGCACAGCTGCATTGTATTTGATGGATGAAAGATATAGGTACAATTTTCGAGGTATTGATAGGCACTTTAATCATGTGGTGACTCCTAGGAATACCATCGATTTTTGGGATAAGTTTTTATGAGGCATTGTTTCTTTACGAAGATTACCAAACCAAATACTTGGAGAACCTTGGAACGTAATACTTTTATTTTACGATACCAATCACATACCAATAAAAATTACGATACGAAAATTCATAAGGCTAATTTTTGTTGCTTAGGGAAACATCATCATCGTTCAGCCGTAATTTATCCAGTTATGGACATAAAGCCTCTGTAAGGTATTTTTATCGCATTCTGTTTCAAACAATCTTTTGTAATGAGTTGTTATAACTGTTCTTTGGTAAATATGAATGAGGTAAGTATCTGGCTCGCCAACAGGCTTAAATAAATAGGAAAACCTTAATATAGTCTTAAATCCTGAAATGAAATAGGTAGTCTATGTTTGCTCATTAAATAAGAGTATACGCTTCAGTAAAAATGTTGTGACTGATCTAATGCTCCGTTCCCATTTTAATGATTCCCTTGAGCAAAATGTCCATGTTATGTCACAGGTTCTGGGTCCAGAATACAAAATACCATAGGCTTGTTACATAAAGGCAATTTTTATGATCGTGTGTGGCAAGTGTCATGTTCCTTTTTCCCTGGGGTGGGCTATTGTTGTTTAGAGTAAATAGCCGGATTGTGGATATTAAGAAGGTAAACATAGAATAAATGAGAAGTAGGTCCAGTAAACTTTAAGTTGAATGGGGATAACTGAGATCACTGAGGAATGTGGAAGTTCCCAACCAGTGTGATTCCTGAAGGCAGAGGCTGGTATTATGGTTGGGACGGAACAAAACTCACATTAGGGAATATTGCGATTTATTAATGAGAGATGGAGCTAGAGTGAGTGAATCAATAGATACTCGAATGGACCTTTAGTTCATTTATTGTCTTTTGTGAACCAGCACTAGATACGTGGTTGAAACTCAAGTCAGCTTATGAGTAAGAATTTTTCGTTAGTATTCATCCATTGTAATAGAGATTTTCCCTTATGCGCTCTGTTCATGACACAAAACCAGAATCGACCAATAAGAACTGTGCTGTCCACCTACAAACGAATGATCGCGCGTTTGGCGGTTTTTGTTTTAGTTCGCGTCGGTTTTGAATAGACTTTAGAGCAATCTAAACACTTTCGCTTGGGAATTTCTTGCCACTGCTAATCAAACCATAGATAAACTAAACTCGAGGTTTCTATTCGAGGCGGGAAAAATAAATCTGCAGAGCTAAAATTAAATGGTATCTAGGTATTTAGATCATAAGCCAGGTCATAAGGCAATGTTTATTTATTTATTTATTTATTGATAACCTTTTCGTTTTGTTCGATATTTTCATTCAGCCAGCTTAGATTTGGGATTGAATGTAGTTGGCAGGTCCGTCATTTAAGTGTCTGGAGCATGAGGAATCTGTAACCCAGAAAATGGAAAAGGTGGTCATTTCTATAGTTAAGATAAAAACCGATAATAAAATGGAAGTTTTACGAACGAATTCTGTATTAACGAGGTATTGCTCAGTTTCTCCCACATATATTTTATTGCATTCACATGGAATTGTGTAAACTAGTCAACTTTTTTTATCTTGAGGTACGCTGTTGTTTTTAGATTGTAGAAGGCTAGGGAAACATAAGAGTTTTGGAAGCGTCTTGCTATTTTCTGGAAAGCCCATCAATGAAGGGGAATTTGAAATATATTTTCTGTTCACCCACTTTCTCTTTTTTGGACAGGAATTTGGTGATATTTCTATTGATGAAATTAAGCGGGTAGTTATTGTTTTGAAGGAGCTTTCTGACCTTATTGAATATTGGTGAAATGAAACTCTGGGTCACTGAGGTGAATAGCCCTATGTAAGAGGCCATTGATAACACCTATTTTATTTGAAATGGGGTGATGTGAATGGAAAATCAACATTCTGAGTGTGTTTCGTATACCAATTTATTGCTAGTGTCCCATTTCTTCTATGGTGTATTTCAATATCTGAGAAGCAAATTTTCTTGTTGTTCTCTACTTCCATTGTGAACTTTAAGGAGTGATGGAAGCTGTTAAAGGTTTGTAGTAACAAATCTAACTTATCTTGTGGAGATGCCAATATCGTGTCATCAGCATAAACAAAAATGAAGTTCTTTGACCACTCTACTCTAAACAGTCAACAGTCTTCGAACGTACTGATGGAAAAATACCTAACCTGACTTTACCAGCGGTTCCTTATTTATATTTATATGAAATTTTTCTAATTTAAATTTAAAATCCAGTATCTAGTACAATTATTAAGGGTTGAATTGCATGAATCAAACGCTGTTAATATAATTGAGTGACTTTTCTGAATAACACAACTGCTTTGTTTCTCTTTATTTTTCTTCAAACTGATTCGGCTGCACTGATATTGAATGGATCAAGAAAACAAAAAATTGTTGAGTGAGCGTTGATTTTGGTTTAATTTTGATTGACTTTTGTAATGCCATTCGGCGCCAACTCTCTGTGTCTTTTCAGTCTATGATCTTATTTTAGGGCTTCAAAAAGACTAAATTAAAGTCGAAACGTTGCCGAAATGAAATAGTGTTCCTTCTTCCACGATCCTTTGTGGTGACTACAATCTATTTTTTCCCAAGATAGAGCTTGACAATAACAACTTTGAAACATAAACAATGTCGCTCATAGGTCGCAAAATGCCGAATACCTGCACTCCACTGTAAAAGATGCTGTGGTAAAAGGATACCTCACCTGCAGGAACACCGCATTTTGCGATCAATTAGGGCCAAGCGGTATTGTTTATACTTCAAAGTTAACAATGTCAAAATCTATCTTGGGGAAAAATAGACTGTAGTCGTAATTTCTGACATCTCATCTTTTCGGTATCTTTAGCTGGGTTCGGCTATTCAGCGCGGAGTTGGACTGGAGTGAACAGAGATAATGGAGTCACCCCTAATACGGTAAAAAGCAATACTCAAACCTTAACCCGAACGGCTGGAGTGCGAATGGAGTCACTTGGAGTGCACGGAGTGAGCAAGCCGAACCCACCTTTAATTGTTGTTGTCAATGCATAAAAAAAAAGTTTGACAGTTCTGTGTTGACAATAGATTATCAATCTATCAATCACTATCAATTTAACTCAAGTTTAATTTATTCAAGTATAAAAGTAAGAATGAATGCGGAATCCGCATTTCTACCTTACGAAGCAAGAGTAAAACTTCGCAATGCCTAAAAGGGTTTACACCAAGTCATAAAGCAATCATGATCTCCAATACAAACTCACGACGATATGGCACCAAACTTGATTGAAACCTCGATTTATGGAGAAACTTCGCAACATAATTTATCAGAGAACATAATTATCACAGAATGTTGCTTCCATAACTTCTGAACCCTGAAACCTGGAAAGAGAGCAGGCTCACAAGACAACCTCGTGTCCAGATACCAGTGTTTTCAGGCATGGATTGGGAGAGTCCAGAAAAATTTGCCTAGATATTTAGGTCCCATTTTGAAAAGATTAAAGTTCCGAAGGAATGTCAATCTAGATTGACATTCCTTGACTAGTCAAGTCGGACATTATCTGGAGGGAGAAGCAAAATCATAGTTCTCTGCATATGGACTACATGACGTAAGTTTTGATTCTTTCTGTAATAAAGGTCTATTACGAAAGATTGAGGTGAACCTAAGAAAGTTCCCACGCAGCGTCTGACCCAGAGTGAGCGGCTGCTGTTCTTTATGTTAGGAGCGGCTTAATAAACACTCGCCAACCCGCATGGCAAGCGTGGCGTTTTAATTGCCATATTTCCTTCAAAACTTTCCATGAATTCACAAGAAAGACCAAGGCCCCGAGTCCCTGGCGGCTTGAATATCCCCGGCCAAGGCAGCGGACGGACTAGGAATCGAGCCAGGAGTGCTAAGAATCCCCAGGTTACGATAGGCTGCCAACATAGCGACGTATAACACACGGACAATGAGAACAGAGGAAAAATTCTCAGAGCTGGAACTGGAGTGGAGAAAATACAAAATGAGATATACTAGGCATCAGCGAGAAACGGATGAAAGGAGAGAAGTGTACCGTCCTAAAAAATGGTTCCACACTATACCAGACAAACTCTGAGGTAGACTCACAAGGTGGAGTGGCTATACTGATCTCACTTAAAGTTCGAAAATATTACGGAACTAAAATCCATATCCGATCGAGTAATCTTTGTCGTCCTAAAATTAAAATCGAAAATACTTAATAGAAGTTATTCAGGTATACGCACCAACTGCATCATCCGATGAAGAGGAAATTTATAGCTTCTATGAAGACCTAACGAGAGCCTTGAGTTTATCAAAAACACATTCCTCTTTTATAACCGGCGACTATAATACAAAAATAGGCAAAAAGAAAGTTATGGCCTAGGACAGAGAAATGAAAGAGCCGAGAGACTCCTCAACTTCCTCTAACAACACAACATCTATGCCATGAACACCTTTTTCAAAAAACCACCACAAAGGAAATGGACTTGGGCCAGCCCTGGCCCCTGATGGATCTACAAGGAATGAGATTGACTATATCCTATGTAATAAAAAATGCATTGTCGAGGATGTGTCGATCATTAATCAATTCTCCATAGGCAGCGACCATAGATTAGTTAGAGCTAGAGTTAAAATTAACACAAAACTAGAAAAATCCAAACTCATCCACGCTAAAAGTCAACATCTAAACCTCCCCCCCCCCCCCCCCCCCCCCAAATATCTTCAGTTATCAACTAGACCTAGACAGAAGATTATCAAGTACACAAAACTGCCCCCCCCCCTCCTGCTCCTGAAAATTGGTTTCCAAAGTTCCATGAGGACTCTCGTCGGCCCATAAATGGTGGTTATGGAAATTCATAATGGAATTCCTTGAAAAATTGGCTTGGTC